ATAGGCAGGCTGACAAGAACAAAAAAGTGTTTCACCCAGGAGATATCAAGGCAAGTGGTCGGGTCCCTCTCAAGGCAAACCCCCTTCTAAGACTAATGCTCAATGGGAATGCATGCTCTGATTGGTGACCATGTTAGTCACCGATAAGGGGAAGTGAGGGAAAAACAGCAATGAAGCTGCGAGCTAAGCCCTACCACATTCAATAGCCTCCTGTGAACCCAGGTGGAGAACTGGTTGGCCAGCAGTGCGCCAAGTCCAGGGGACTCTTGGACCCAGAGTCAGTGACATAACCGCAGAGGACTAGAATAGAGAGTGAAGCATCCAGCTGATAAGGAAAGAGGACACATGTATTAAAAAACAACAACAACAACAACAACAAAAAACTACGGCACAAGATCTTTTTAAAATGTTCAACAGAAAAGATGTTTGAGGAAAAAGGTGAGCCTGACTCAAGTCATGGTATTTTCAATAATCTCATATGCATGTGAAAGTCAGACAACAAAGAAGGAAGACCGTAGAACAATGGATGCATTTGAATTATGGTGTTGCAGGATATTAAAAGTACCATGGACTGCCAGAAGAACAAACATATTTGTGTTGTAAGATGTACAGACAGAAAGCTCCCTAGAAGTCAGGAAAGCAGAACTTGGTCTGTCATACTTTGGACATGTTATCAGGCATGACCAGTCCCTGAAGAAGGACATCATACTTGGTAAAGTGGAGGGTCGGTGAAAAACAGGAAGCCCCCCAATGAGATGGATTGGCACCTTGTGGCAGCAGCTCAAATGTAACAACCATTGTGAGAATGGTACAGGACCTCACAAGTGCAAAAGTTCTACTGTGCATATGGTTGCTATGAGTTGGAACCAACTCTGTGGCTCCTAACAACAACAACAACTTTTCCTCAAAGAATCCCACATCCTTCAGTTTACACCACTTCAGACAGTAGGTTTGGCATCCTCAAGAGACTCAAATCATATCCCTTAATGTTCTTTGAGTTTGGGAACCAAAAAGAAATCAGAAGGGATAAGATCAGGACTATGCGATGTGTGAGGTTAAAGTTTCCTAGTGACATTTTTTTTTTTTTTGATAGTCCTTGCTATTGTCAAAAAACCGAAAAATTACATTTTTGTGGTGGGAAAATAAATCTTGTTTTAAATTTCCTGGTCTTTATCTTACTAACGCAGTTTGCAATCTTCTGAAAACTTTTTCATAGTAAGTCCCTGTGATCATCCTGTGTTCTTCAAGAAAATCTATCAAGACGACTTGCCGGGAGCCAGCCCCAGCAAACTTATTCCAGGGTTCCCGAAGAGGTGTGTGGTGTCGGCGGGAAAGAATCACACGGAGTCATTTAGGTCGTGATGAATTCAAAATCTTCTTCTTACATGCTTTATTATCCTATCATTCTTTACTCTTCTGCTCATCCTTTTCTCCCCTTCTCAGTCCCCCTCCATTATTTACTCTTCACTCTCCCCTTCACTCTACCTCCATTCTCACTCTTTACTCTACTCCATTCTCTACTCTTTCTTCTATCTTACAATCCCCTAACATATCGTTACAAAAAACATTATTTTCATAGTAATCAATGTCTTCAAAATACAATCTATTCTGGGGCACATTCTTCATGGTTTATGACCCTTAGATTTACAACAGGGATGAGCAGTTACAGCAAAGAAACGTTACATCAACACATACGAGAGACATCCTGGCGCCTTGAAACCTTTTAGTTAAACATTTG